GAGACACAGGCCCGACTGGCATGTTCCCTCACTCCTGGTCGTTCGTTCAGGAGCTTCAAAAGCTTTCTTCAGCCCAAACGTCACAGTGACTGATGCCAATCGACACCGGCGCACTTAGGGATCTGCAGAGTTTGCGCAGCTTGCGTAACAGACCTCAGCAACTCAGCATTTTGGCTAATCTACTTTATTTACATATAAACACACATGGAGCACTGCAACATGGCTCCCTCTCTCTCTGGGATCAGACAGCAAAGAGAGAAAAAACAAAGGACAATAGTCCCACTTCACAGAACACAAACATCCTGTCTCCCTCACTTCCCACTCTGTGGAGTCAAAACATATACTGTCATGTGATAGACAACAATCCCATAACTGCATACACGGAGCAGGAATTCTAACAGGAAGAACTAGATGCACAAATATAGGACTGGGGGCACCTGGCTTGCATGTGAAAAGGATCTAGGGGTCTTGGTGGACCAAAAGCTTAACATGAGTCAACAGTGTGGTGCAGCAGCAAAGAAAGCTAACATTATTCTAGGCTGCATCAACAGAAGTCTAGTATCCAGATCAAGGGAAGTTATAGTCCCACTCTATTCTGCCTAAATCAGACCACACTTGGAATACTGTGTCCAATTCTGGGCACCACAATTTAAGAAGGATGTTGACAAGCTGGAATGTGTGCAGAGGAAGGCAACCAAGATGATCAAGGGTCTGGAAACTAAGCCTTGAAGGAGCTGTGTATGTTTAGCCTGGAAAAGAGGAGACTGAGAGGAGATAATGGTAGCCATCTTCAGATATCTTAAGGGCTGTCACATAGAGCATGCTTGTTTTCTCCTGCTCTTGAGGGTAGGACTCAAACCAATGGCTTCAAGTTACAAGAAAGGAGATGCTGACTTAACATTTGGAAAAGCTTTCTGACAGTCAGAGGTGTTCAGCAGTGGAACAGACTTCCATGAGAGGTGGTGGACTCGCCTTTCTTGAAGGTTTTGAAGCAGAAGTTTGATGGCCAACTGTCATGGATGCTTTAGCTGAGATTCCTGCATTGCAGGGGGTTGGACTAGATGACTCGTGGGGTCCCTTCCAACTCTATGATTCTATGATTTATAACCTGCCTTTCCCCCTGATGGGGCTCCAGGCAGCTTACAAATAAAAATAAGAACCACTAAAAACATGGGGAGAGGGGGGAAACCCATTATTTCTTTTTAAAAAAATGAAACAAGTGATAGAAGTAAAACTATTGTTGTTGTTTAGTTGTTTAGTTGTGTCTGACTCTTCGTAACCCCATGTAAAATCTATTAAGCACCAGCTTAATGTGAAGAAAGGCAAACTGATGTCAGTGTACTGGAAGAAGCAAAGATCACCAGTGCCGAAGCAATGATTCTTCAACATCAACTTTGTTGGACTGGTCATGTATGGATGCCTGATTATCGTCTTCCAAAGCAACTACAGTGGTATCTCAGGTTACATACACTTCAGGTTACAGACTCCACTAACCCAGAAATAGTACCTCGGGTTAAGAACTTTGCTTCAGGGTGAGAACAGAAATCGTGCTCCGGCGGCGTGGCGGCAGCGGGAGGCCCCGTTAGCTAAAGTGGTGCTTCAAGTTAAGAACAGTTCCAGGTTAGGAACGGACCTCCAGAACAAATTAAATACTTAACCCGAGTATTTAACTCGGAGTACTCTATTCCCAACTTAAGGATGGAAAGCAAAATACTGGTTGTCAAGAAAAGAGGCTTAAAGATGCTCTCAAAGCAAATCTGTATATGCACGGGTAATTGGGAAACACTGGCCTGCGAGTGCTCCAGTTGGAGAATAGCCTCTAGCAAAGGCGTCATGGACTTTGAAGAAGCAGTAACTCAGGACAAAAGGGAGAAAGGAGCTAAGAGAAAGGCATGGTTGGCAAACCCTCACTGTGATCAACTCCTGCCTGGAAACCTGTGTCCCCACTGCGGAAGGATGTGTGGATCCAGAATTGGCCTCCACAGTCCCTTAAGGACTCACTGTTAAGACCGTATTCATGGAAGATGATCTTACTTGGCTACGAGTGATTGGCAGGGAGAAAGAGAAGCTCCACAGCTGGAGACAGTGATGCTGACCACCTTTCCCCTCTTCCTCCCAATAAGCACCAGTGCCCCTGCTGGTGGGAAGCTAGTACTGCAGCTCTGCCCCACCAGTCGAAACACATCTGCTCTGCGTATGTTCCAAGCATTCCCATGGTTATTCCTTCATGGCATTCCAGGGTTTGGGGTATGGAAAGAATCTGGGGTTCCAACAAAGCCTTAGGTAAGAAAGGCAGAAAAATCCCGAAAGGAAGCAGAATCTGTTTCAAATCTCCCATCGATGTGAGTGGAAGGGGCGCGAAACTTTTCTCAATGGGAGGGCACTTCAGTCAAGTGTAAGAAACAGGAGAACAAAAGCATCACGGAGAGGATGAGCTTTAAGAAGAGGCAGAAATTGCATTTAGGCGAGTTGCCTATTGATAGCCAAACCCACGCAGCAGAGCTAATGCGCCAAGCACTTAGAGAAAGCACAGCACGGCTGAGTACTTATTACGGTGCTGTCAAAATGTGGGCAGTTCGTATAACCCAGCGGGAGTTTCTGGGGATTCAACGTTATTAAGAATTAAGAAATACGCCTGGGCTGCGCAGAAAGTTTGGCCGCGTTTGCAAACTTCGGCATTTGGGAGCGTCTTTGGACAGAAAGGCGGGTTGCAAATTTAAGTCATAAAAGGGCAGATAAATAATACCAATGGCTTTGCAGATAATACAGTTATACAAATGACTACCATGGTGCATAAGGGATGTGGGTGGCGCTGTGGGTTAAACCACAGAGCCTAGGGCTTGCCAATCATAAGGTCGGTGGTTCGAATCCCCGCGACAGGGTGAGCTCCCGTTGCTCAGTCCCTGCTCCTGCCAACCTAGCAGCTCACTGTTACAGATGCACAGCCTGACTTTCTGCCTTCATGCACCATGGTAAAGGTAAAGGTAAAGGGACCCCTGACCATTAGGTCCAGTCGTGACCGACTCTGGGGTTGCGGCGCTCATCTCGCTTTATTGGCCGAGGGAGCCAGCGTACAGCTTCCGGGTCATGTGGCCAGCATGACGAAGCCGCTTCTGGCGAACCAGAGCAGTGCAAGGAAATGGCGTTTACCTTCCTGCCAGAATGGTACCTATTTATCTACTTGCACTTTGACGTGCTTTTGAACTGCTAGGTTGGCAGGAGCCGGCACTGAGCAACAGGAGCTCACCCCGTTGCAGGGATTTGAACCACCGACCTTCCAATCGGCAAGCCCTCGGCTCAGTGGTTTAGACCATCATGTGTAGTGCACCTATGTACTTTTTGAACTTTCAATAAAGATGTCTGGGATGGGGGAAAACATTCCCACATTTCACTGCGTTGGGCCCTGCTCTTCCTTCCGTTACGAGGAAAGGAGAGGGGCAAGAAGCTTCTCTCTTTGTGGTAAATAGCACTCCCCCCCCCGATTGATGGAGGGTGGGGCAGCCATTTTGTAACTGGCACCCACAGACTTTTCTCCACATCCCAAAAGGGTCAACTGGCCCAGAGAAGTTGGTGGCCCCTGCTGCATCCCATAATGAGTGTGATATAGAGCAATAAGGTTTGGCAAATTGCCCTTCTTGAAAAGGTATCTCATAAACTAAAAATGTCTAAAGGGCAGAGCTCAAATGGCCATATAGACCGGGGTTTCCCAAACTTGGGTCTCCAGTTGTTTTTGAACTACAGTTCCCATCCTCCCTGACCACTGGTCCTGCTAGCTAGGGCTGATGGGAGTTGTAGTCCAAAAACAGCTGGAGATCCAAGTTTGGGGAACTCTGGCAGAGATAGAGAGATAGAAGGCATGATTTTATTTCTTGTAAGAACACTGCGGTACATAGTCGCTCACTGCCACCAGTAAATGCAAATGCCTGGCAGGTTTAAGACTATACAGAACCTTTATTCTCAGTAACGATGGAACTCACAAGTGGACAATGCTTTCATTTTTGTATATCTTTATTATTTGTAAAGGGATTTTTTGTACGAGTCAATACTTTATTTGGAGCTGTGTTGCATCTTTGTACTTTTGTCCTTCCAAGCTGTGATGCTTTGTGGTTTTAAGTTTTTTATTCTTTATTTTTGTTACATTTGCTTTTTTGTTTTTTTGTTTTTTTGTTAACAAATCAATAAAATACCTTTTTAAAAGATGGAGAAATGCCTCTGAGAAGCTGGGAAGTGGTAACTTGTTGCTTTCCCCCATCCCTCACAAGACTCTGGCGCTGAGGTAGGCTCTCTCTCCTACTCTCCACCCCCCCCCCAAGTTGCACACTCAGGCCACATTCACACCTTGTACTTAAAGCACTTTGATACCACTTTAAACCGTCATGGCTCCCCCCAAAGGATTCTGGGAACTGTCGCTTCTTAATGGTGCTAAGAGTTGTTAGAAGCCCCCTGTTCACAAGGCTACAGTTTGCAAAGAGGCTGAACAATCTTTTCCTCAGCACAGGGATAGATAGATATAGATAGATGATATAGATAGATAGATGATAGATAGATAGATAGATAGATAGATAGATAGATGATAGATAGATAGATAGATAGATAGATAGATAGATAGATGATAGATAGATAGATAGATAGATAGATAGATAGATAGATATAGATAGATAGATAGATAGATATAGATAGATAGATGATAGATAGATAGATAGATAGATAGATAGATAGATAGATAGATAGAGATAGATAGATGATAGATAGATAGATAGATAGATAGATAGATAGATAGATAGATAGATAGATGATAGATGATTGATAGATAGATACCTGTAGATAGAGAGATACTTTTCTGTTTTTACGACTTTTTATTGTTTCAGACTCTTTGGGATTTATTTTAGGTACACCCGTCAAAAAGGCAAGCGATCAAGTAGAATATGTAATTCCCAGAGATTCTTACCCAACTCTGTAGCCGTCAAGCCTTGCAACCCTCTTGCTTTCTTCCCCTCTAGGTAACGTGAGCAGGAACTGTACCAGTGAAGGCTGGTCTGAAATGTACCCTCCATACATCGCGGCGTGTGGGTATGATCCCAACGCCACAAACGTGGTGGAACAGGTCAGTAAACTCGAAGCCAGGTCGGGTTCGGTAGGGTTGCCGAGAGAAGCCGAATATTCGGTTTCTGGAAGCTTTTGGCACGACGCTGCATTTGACGCTATGAGAGCGACAATAGCTGGTGGCTTGGGCTGGGAAATGGGTTCAGTTCCACACCTCCTTCAAATGCGTTTGCCTTGTTGGCATGTGTCCTAGAACTGCGACGATGCTTCTTTCTTGCCTTGAAGGAGGACAGGAGAAAGGGGCATGTTTGTGTAGAAACCACTGGCTTTTGTGCAGCTGGAACTCAACCCACTGTGCGGTGGTACCTCTGGTTGCGAACAGGATCCGTTCTGGAGGCCCGTTCACAACCTGAAAGGAATGCAACCTGCGCCTGTGCGTGTGCGTGTTGCGATTTGCCACTTCTGCTCATACGCATGACGTCATTTTGCATGTCTGCGCATATGTGAGCAGCGAAACCTGGAAGTAACCCTTTCCGGTACTTCCGGGTCACCGCAGGACACAACCTGAAAACGCTCAACCTGAAGCAAACGTAACATGAGGTGTGACTGTACAAAGAAAACAGTCACATCCTTTGCTCTTCCCACAGATACCTCGGCCTCATCTGCTTTTGCACTTTCTACAAACAGGCCCCAGAACGTTCTCCACGAAGGACTGTGGCCCTCAGGCTGCAATAGGTTATCCACCCCGACTTAGAAACTAGTAGCATGGAGTTTCTTTAACTGACTCACAAAATACTGAGGGCGATATAGGTTGTACGATCTGTCGAGAGATAGGTAATAGCAGTTGACGTCCTGAAGTGAAGGCTGAGGTACTGGGATTGGGAGAAGGTGAAGTATGCTGGGAGATGAGGAAAGATGGAAGAAGCATTTGAATTTTAACTGAACATCAAAAACTGCCTCAGACCATTGGTCCATCTACCTCAGTGTTGTCTACACTGACCGCCTTCAGCTCTCCTGGGTTTTCTACAGGGATGTTTCCAACCATACCTGGAGAGGGTGGAGATTGTCAGGTGAAGTGACTGCCTCAGGTGGCAGCATCCACAGGAGAGCAGATCCCAACGTTTATTCCTCCCTTGTTCCTAACGTAGCTCTTAGGAACAAGGGAGAGCCATTGTGGTGTAGTGGTTAAGAGCGGTAGACTCGTAATCTGGGGAACCGGGTTCGCGTCACCGCTCCTCCACATGCAGCTACTGGGTGACCTTGGGCCAGTCACACTTCTTTGAAGTCTCTCAGCCCCACTCACCTCACAGAGTGTTTGTTGTAGGGGAGGAAGGGAAAGGAGAATGTTAGCCGCTTTGAGACTCCTTCGGGTAGTGATAAAGCGGGATATCAAATCCAAACTCTTCTTCGCTCACCCCTTCTTCTCTGGTGGTTTGCCTCAGGCGCCAAAATGTATTGGGCCAACCCTGGGGCTCAGATCTGGAATGTTCTTCAAGAAAAGCAGGTGTTCTGCCCCTGAGCCACAGCCCTGCGATCGAAAACACTGTAAGCTTCTTTGAGGGCCTGTTGGCAGACAAGCGAGATACAAACTGAACAAACGAATAGGCAAACACGCTGTTATTCGCTTCTCTTTTCTGTGTTGACAGAACACATTCTACGGCACTGTGAAGACTGGGTACACCATTGGGCACAGTTTGTCTCTCGTTGCTCTCACGGCGGCCATGGTGGTTCTGTGTCTCTTCAGGTAAGAGACTGTGGCAATCACACAGGGTCCACGGACGTTTCGCCGTCTATTGATCCCTGTGCCACCACTTTATTTCTCGCTGCCACCACCCAGGCCCTACCTGGTACAATAGTGAGTCCAGTCAGGGTTAAATTGGAACATAAACTTCTGTTTATTTATTGCAGTTTAACAAGCGTGTGGTTTCATAAACGGTATCGGTCAATTACAATCTTGGGGTGCCTATCCAGACCTATAACTTCTGCTACCTGCTCTCACTCACTAAACCACCTCTCAGATATTTACTTGTCTTCCTAGCCCCTAACTGTTCCTGACTCAGCTTATTTCGCTACTCTAACTCAACCTACCCACAGACTCTATCCCAATTCACTCCCACTCCAACCAACCTCCCAAGGAACTTCTTCCCTTCGCCCCTCCCAGAGCTGGTTTTATAGTCCCTCTGACTCCACCCCCTGGGTTCTGATTGGGTTAGGGTTAGGGTTAACCTGTTTAACTATTTCACCTCCAGCATTCTCATATGTTAACGTCACAGAGACACACACGGGAAACTTGAGGGAGGGGAAGAGAGTCGGCTTGCCCCTTGGCTCTTAAACCAGTTTCAGTCAGGCTCTCTGCGTGGTTGGGCCCCTTTTGAAAGACTCCTTTCTCTCTTTCTCTCATCCAGGAAACTCCACTGCACTCGGAATTACATCCACATGCATCTCTTCATGTCCTTCATCATGAGAGCCATCGCCGTCTTCATCAAGGACGTCATCCTCTTTGAGAGAGGGGAGTCCGACCACTGCTCCATTGGCTCGGTCAGTTGTGCCTTCCACCGGGAGCGCTCAGGGACGGGTGGGGGTCTCCTCTGTGCTTGTCTTGCATGCTCCATTTTGCCTCTCTCGTAACTTGACTGGGAGTGGCCGCAGAGACCATATAACACTGGTCCTGAAAGAGCTACATTGGCTCCCAGTATGTTTCTGAGCACAATTCAAAGTGTTGGTGCTGACCTTCAAAGCCCTAAACAGCCTTAGTCCTGTAGACCTGAAGGAGCGTCTCCACCCCCATCGTTCTGCCTGGACACTGAGGTCCAGCTCCGAGGGCCTTCTGGCGGTTCCCTCCCTGCAAGAAGCGAGGTTGCAGGGAACCAGGCAGAGGGCCTTCTCGGTGGTGGCGCCCGCCCTGTGGAACACCCTCAGATGTCAAGGAAATAAACAACTATCTGACTTTTAGAAGACACCTGAAGGCAGCCCTGTTTAAGGAAGTTTTTAATGTTTGATGTTTTATCATGTTTTTAATGTTCTGTTGGGAGCTGCCCAGAGTGACTGGGGAAACCCAGCCAGATGGGCAAGGTATAAATAAATTATTATTACTATTATTAACTGTATGTTTGCCTGAAAAGGGCTGGCTGCAGAGGCAGATTTAAGGCAGCATGACTGGTTCCCCCCCCACAGGGGCCAATGGTCTTTCCTCCTCCTTCCCAAAGCCTAGAAAGTGCTGGGCTTTGGGGGGAAAGGCATGAGGGCTCTTGCAAGGTCCTAGAGTCCTCCTTCTTCCTTCCCAAAGCCTAGTTAACCCTTACCTAGCTTTGGGAAGGAGCTGGGAGGGCTCTAGGACCTGCCAGAGCCTCCTTCCCAAAGCCCAACAATTTGCTTACCCGCTTATGGGAAGGTGCTACAAGGGTCGGAGGAGTGTCGCCCTCACACAGGGCGTCGTATTACCAAGGGCTGCCACTATGGGCTGCTGCTCCTGGTGTCTTCCTTCCCCTGCAGTTATTGGCTTTGGATAGCTCAACTGGTTAAAGCGTGGTGCCAATAATGTCAAGGTTGCAGGTTCGATCCCCGTATGGGACAGCTGCACATTCCTGCATTGCTGAGGGTTGGGCTAGATGATCTTCAGGTCCCCTTTCAACTCTATGCTTCTATGATGCTTGTGTTTCTTGCTTGTAAATTAATGCTCCTGTTCAGCCGCTGCAATGCACAACTGATGCGAGGATTCCTCTGGCTGGCCAACAGTTTTAATTGGGGCCATATTTTGCAAAACACTTATGTCACTGAAAAGAACGTACAAAATTTGTTATATTAGGGATGTTGTTTTGCAAAAGAGGGGAAAATGTGCACAAGGCAGAATTGCATATGAGGATAAATTCAGATTGCAATCCACGGTTGGAAGGCTGTAATCCTTCTGAATGGCGGCAGCTGGAAACTGCATGGGGGGAGCGCTCTTGTGATTGGATCCCGCTTGTGGGTTTCTGTTTTGGGGGATCTGGTTAGCCAATGTGTGAACAGGATGCTGGCCTGATCCTGAAGGCTATCTTTATGTTCTTAAAATGCTGGTGACTTTTTAAAAGCACAGACTAATGTAGAGTTGTAGAGCACAGCAGCGAAGACTGGGCAAGCGATTGGGCACACTAAGCAACCTTTTCGCCCCAAGAAGTGTGCATAACATGTTTTGCTGCGATGTCACGTAGCAGTGCTAAGGACTGTTCCCCCGCCTTGATGGTCTCCTAGGAGAATGTGGCTGTTTTGAAAGCGGTCTTGTAAAAGTCATCCGTATAAATGCTGTAAAAAAGAACGATTATATTAATAAAGTCCGTGCTGATTCATATTACGGGCTTCTCATCCTACTCCTCCTCCTGCCCCCTCTGCTTTCACAACAGCAGCGAGCTGGAAGAAATCATATACAAAAGACGGCAAGGAAGGAGGGGGGTCACACACACACAAACACACACACATACAAAAGAAGCCCCCCAAATAAATCCCTGTATCTTCCTCACTATGTACACTGCCTCTAGACCATCATTATTTAGTGCAGGCTTCCTCAACCTCTGGGACGCGGGTGGCGCTGTGGGCTAAGCCACAGAGCCTAGGGCTTGGCGATCAGAAGGTTGGCGGTTTGAATTCCCCGCTACGGGGTGAGCTCCCATTGCTCGGTCCCTGCTCCTGCCAACCTAGCAATTGGAAAGCACGTCAAAGTGCAAGTAGATAAATAGGTACCGCTCTGGCGGGAAGGTAAACAGCGTTTCCGTGCTCTGCTCTGGTTTGCCAGAAGCAGCTTAGTCATGCTGGCCACATGACCTGTACGCCGCCTCCCTCGGCCAATAAAGCGAGATGAGCACCACAACCCCAGAGTCATCCACAACTGGACCTAATGGTCAGGGGTCCCTTTACATTTGCCTCCTAAACCTCTGCCCTCCAGATGTTTTGAGACTACAATTCCCATCATCCCTGACCACTGGTCCTGCTAGCTAGGAATCATGGGAGTTTTAGGCCAAAAACATCTGGAGGGCCCAGTTTGAGGAAGCCTCATTTAGTGCATAGCTATACCACAAGCTTTCATTCACGGGAAAACAGGCATTGATTCCTCAAGCAGTGGAAGGTGGAAGGCCCCACAAATCTCAGTCTGCCCTCAGCCAGCCCTCACCTGCCCACCTTCCTACTTGCAACCAGTCTAGGGTTCTGGTCAGCTTCCTTTTCCTTAGTCCCAGGGTTGCTCTTGCAGAATCCAGCAGGGAAGAGGATGGAGTCAAAAGTAGGAGGAGTTGGCTCTGCCTTGTCCTTGCCTCTAGCGCCACCTACTGTTGGCTCCTCCCAGCTTTCCTGTCCACAATTCCCACTGGGCACCAGCCATCATGGCCCCCCCCAAAAAAAACCATTGGAAGTGTTATTTGTTGATGGTCAAACCGTCAGAGTATTGTTGTAAAACCTGAATGCACTCCCACAACTGACTTTGGGAACAGTTCCAGGTGAAACAAATCCATTTTCCATCGCCACACTTTTCCTGGCCCTGATTTTTATTTCCTAAAATTTAATCTTTTTTTAGAAAATGGTTTACAGAAAGGATAAGGCAATGAAATTATCGGGGGGAACCGGTATACAACACAGCTATTGAAAACCTTCAAAAAAGGATGAAAATCAGCAGTAAGCTGGAAACATACATATCTGTCCCAGATAGATGTTTGGAAACAAAAAAAAAATGCATTTAGCAGGTGCCAGAAAGAGTACAGTGCAGACATCTGCCTGATTTCAATAGACAGGGAGTTCCAGAGTCCACAATAGAAGATAGATTTCTTACAAATGTGGAATGAGTGTCACGTGGAGCCTGTAGCAATGCCAGTTCTGCAGATCAAAACAGCCAAGAGGCATTTATGGGATGGTGTGATTTTGCAGGTAGGCACATCTCTTTGTGAGTTAAGACCCAATGAGAGCTCCAGTTTTGGATGCTCCTCCTCTGTGCAGCAGATGCAGAGAACTCTTGCCGGTGGGTGTGGATGTTTCACCCCTCCCATTGCAAGAATCTACTGACAATGTTTCCAGAAAGGAGGGGGCGGAATCTGCTCATCGCTTCTTCCGCTGCAGCCTGACTCTGAGAGAGTCTGAGTGTTATCTGTGTAGAGATAAGATGACTGCTTGTTGTTGTTTAGTCATTTAGTCGTGTCCGACTCTTCGTGACCCCCTGGACCAGAGCACGCCAGGCACTCCTGTCTTCCACTGCCTCCTGCAGTTTGGTCAAACTCATGTTCGTAACTTTGAGAACACTGTCCAGCCATCTCGTCCTCTGTCGCCCCCTTCTCCTTGTGCCCTCCATCTTTCCCAACATCAGGGTCTTTTCCAGGGAGACTTCTCTTCTCATGAGGTGGCCAAAGTCTTGGAGCCTCAGCTTCAGGATCTGTCCTTCCAGTGAGCACCCAGGGCTGATTTTCTTCAGAATGGATAGGTTTGATCTTCTTGCAGTCCGTGGGACTCTCAAGAGTCTCCTCCAACAGCATAATTCAAAAGCATCAATTCTTCAAGATGACTGCTTAAGCAACTGTAACACTCATGCAATCCAGTAGTCTCCATTAGTCTTTAGTTTATTTTAGTTTGCAGTAGCTGTAAAAGAATAAAGAAGCTATGCTTCAGAGCCGTTGTTCATGTAGTTCATAATCTGCTGTGCTCTGCTGACTTTCGCCCTAAGTTTGGTGTTCACAGCTCAAAGTTGTGAGTCCATTGCACTTAGACCTGCTTCCCTGCAGTGGAAGGTCTCTGGAAGTGCTTTCTGAGCTTGCCTGGCCCAGTCAGGGCTGAAGAGATTGAGCCCAGTCACTGGCACTGGCTCAAAGGTGAAGCTGACAGGTGGGCCCCCTATTCAGATGTGCCCCCCCCCCTGCACAAGTCCCTAAGCATGCCTAGCCATGACGCTAGTTCCTGGCGTGGTGATGCCCCCTCCAACTCAGAGGCCTTCTTCCGAGAAAAACCGCTTCGGATCATGCCTGCTACGCCACATTTGTTTTCTGATCTGCTTAACCAATGCATCCCATTGGGAGCCAGTGTGGTGTAGTGGTTAAGAGCGGTAGTCTCATAATCTGGTGAACTGGGTTTGCTTCCCCCTTCTTCCACATGCAGCTGCTGGGTGACCTTGGGCCAGTCACACTTCTCTGACGTCTCTCAGCCCCACTCACCTCACAGAGTGTTTGTTGTGGGGGAGGAAGGGAAAGGAGAATGTTAGCCGCTTTTAGACTCCTTCGGGTAGTGATAAAGTGGGATATCAAATCCAAACTCCTCCTCCATCTCTTCTTCTTCTTCTTCTTCTTCTTCTTCTTCTTCTTCTTCTTCTTCTTCTTCTTCTTCTTCTTTTCCCCCTCTCTGGCTTGTCCACCCAAGTTACAACAGCTGCTGCCAGAATTGAATAAATGTGTGTTACTGAGCTGAGAAGCATAAGGTCAATTTATCACGTTTGCCCATTTTTATTTTGCAACAGTCGGTCTGAGCCATGACAGCCTGGGTGGCCCAGCCTTATTTTCTAAGAAACAAACAGAGAGGTGTAACAGGCTAAATTG